TTTGGAGATTTTGGCAGATTTTGGCCAAATTTGAGGTCCCAAGGGTATCTAGGTAATTTGAGGGAAATTTGGGGCAAAAGGGTAGGTTGGGTATCTTGGTAAAGTTGGAGTACCAACCACCATTAATAAGCCATGGACCAATAGAAACCCCATTTTGGGTCCTCTATGTAGTGGTCTCAGCTAAACCCTAGCCCAGGGCTAATGGGTTTAGGGAACCACCTACAGGAGTCTCCCAAAAGTATCAAGGGACCAAAACCTAGAAGTTCTGGATTTAGGGTAGCGAGTGATTGTGAGTGCAAACAGAGCCTTAGCCCCAAACCAACACCTAGGGTCAACCCTAAGGTCCAGTAGTCCTAAGGGTGACTCACCTTGAGTTTCCCCCATAGTGAACCCACCTACTAAGTGCTAGAGGTTAGGACCAATATGTGAAACTTCAAGTTGAGCAGAGAAGAGATTAGAATTTCTAATGGTGAGGGTCCCATGTCTAGTTTTCTAAGAATAGTCAATAGGAAAGTCTTATGGCTAGACCTTAGGCTACTAAAGAGGAAAAACCAAACCTCAACCAAAAGTGAGGTCAACAAATAGACCCCCAATATGTGTGGTGTGCTAGGCAAGCATACCGCGCATATTGGCGTTGACCGACGAGATCAACAAAAACCAATACAAATTCCTAAGTCAACAGACCCAGAAATATGTGTAGATTTGTGTGTGTGATTTGTTTCCGCAGGGGAAATTAGCAGATGATCATTTGATTGAAATCAAGGAGTAGGGACTTTCGTTGGGGATCGGAGAGTGAATTTGGAGTTATGAAATTTCAGGTATTTATAAAGGATGGGAGTCAGTATATAAGTGTTGACCCTGAGGTGGGAATTGAAATTTGGCTATCAATCCCGAAATAAGAATCAGATGCCATAACCCATTTAAGGTGGTCTTGAAACTTATTTCAAAAGATGAGAATAGGATTGTGTGGGAGGACCGAATCGAGATGAAAAACACAGAGGCTCACATCTGACTCCAAAGAAAATATCTGCTACATTGAGGAAGGAAGTACTAGGACTCACATCCAACTCAATAGGTAACAAGAAAATATGTGTGTCATGTTAGGAAGGAAAGCGCTAGGACTCACATCCAACCCAAGCGGTGACAAGAGAATATATGTGTTACATTGAGAAGGAAAGCACTATGACTCACATCCAACTCAAGAGGTAACAAGAAAATATGTGTGTCACGTTAGAAAGGAAAGCGCTATGACTCACATCCAACCCAAGCAGTGACAAGAGAATATATCAATCACGTTAGGAAGGAAAGCAAGGGGACTCGCATCCAACCTAAGAGGTGACGAGGAAAATATCTGCTACGTTGAAGAGGAAAGCTTCGAGACTCACATCCAACTCAAGCGGTAGGGGGAAAATTTATCGATCACGTTAAGAAGGAAAGCACTGAGACTCACATCTAACCTAAGAGGCGATGAGGAAAATATCTGCTACAATGAGGAGGAAAGCGCTGTGAATCACATCCACCTCAAGCGGTAGTGAGCAAATATCTGCTACATTGAGGAGGAACGCGCTGTGACTCACATCCAACTCAAGCGGTAGTGGGAAAATATATCGATCACGATAGGGAGGAAAGTATTGGGACTCACATCCAACCTAAGAGGTAACAAGGAAAATATCTTCTACGTTGAGAAGGAAAGCTCTGGGACTCACATTTAACTCAAGTGATAGCGGTATACTCCTCCAATGTACTATAGCATTGTAGATGTAGGAAATTACAGTCCGGGCATTCTACAAATGCCCCTTTGGCTGATGTCCTTGTAGGTATCTCGACATTGCGCGTCGGGCAACCCGTGC